TGTTTCCCAAATTCACTGACCGCGCCTGTTTCGTCATGGGACATCTTGCAGAGCGAGTGTTCCCTGGAACACACTTTGGGAACCACTGGCTGGCCGTCTGCATCAATACCAACTGTCACCTTTGAAGGCCTGGAGACCAGGGTCTCAGGGGGTCGAGGATGGTTGGTGGAGGCCCAGAGGACTGGGAGGTCACGGGACACCAGCGCCTCTGTCTTTTGGCCCTGGTCACTCATGGTAATCGCCTGGAGCCATCTGTAGAGGTGTTGATTTAGTCGGTGTGGGGTGTGGCCAGGGACTGGGATTTTAAAAAAATTCCCTGGGTGGTTCTAATGTGTAGGCGGGGGTGAGAGCCACTGCCCTAGAGCCAGGCTCAGGGGGAAGGAAAGAGGATCTTTGTGTATACCCATCTTGGGTCATATTAATAAGGGCATAGTCTGCAGAATGTGGGGGGCGATGGTCCTGCTTGATTTGGCCCTGCTCGGCCAGCCGTGCCAGGTTCCGAGCCCCACAACAGCTTAACAGAAACACCTGAGAGTTGGGAAACGCTCAGTCAAAGAGGAACCGATACAGCAAGGAGACTCAAAACAAGATCCGGAGGGGCTTACACGAGGGCTCGCCGGCGAACTGCACAGACAGGCAGCTGGCATTCCTCGCAGCAGCGGGAACTGGGGTTCGGGGCTTGCCGTTTGTCACGCCTGCCCTCGGCTCTTTCAACGGGGGGAGCTTGTCTTTGAAGCCTCGGTGGCGTTTCTGCCTTCCTGACGAGGAGCAGCGGGGGCTCACTGAGGGTGGAAGTGGCACATGCGGGTGGAAAGAGCCGGAGGCGAGTGGGGACCATCCGGTTAAGCCTGAGAAATGCTTCTCCGGGGCACCCAGGTGCCCGCCGGTCTAGGGCGCGTTCAAGGAGCCGGCGAATATTTAAGCAGCAGCAGACAAAGGGGGAGGGGCAGGGTGACAGTGTGGGTGACGCTGGCCGCAGCCCGGGGACACGGAGCCTCTCGGGGGTCAGGGCGAGGCCTGGACCCCTGTCCGCAGCTGCAGTCGCTGGATGGACAGGTGACTGGGACAGCAGGAAGGGCCCTGGACGGGCTGGCGGGGGGGAAGGAGGGTTACCAAGGAGGGTCTCTCTGAAGCGGGGACGTTTCCCCTGAGACCTGAAACTGGCTGTGGGAAGGGGACTCCAGGCAGCCAGGCCGGTGGCTGGTGGAGCACGGCGCGTCCCAGGTGGGCACAGAGATGAGCTAGATTGGCCCGGCCGGCCACACGGGGCACAGAGGCGGCGAGTTAGCGCGCAGCCTGGGCGAGTGCCTGGCCCGCTCCGGGCCTCAGTTTCCCCCTGGGCAGCAGGGACACAGTGAGAGCAGCCACTGAGAATGCCCGGCGCACGGCGAGCCCGCAGAAACATCAGTTCCGCCATCATCATCACCATTAACAATGGAGGAGCGCGGGACACGGAGCCGGGCCTGGTGCTGGGCGGCCTTGCTGTCCCAGCTGCTCCTCCCCGTGCGCACCCCGAGGCCGGAAGAGGTCCCCCACGGCGTCTGGGTCCTGTCCAGAGTGATAGCGGCGGCCGCTGTGCGGCTCACACCAGGGCGTCCTGGGCAGTGGGCATGGGAGCCCGGCCGTCCCTGCGGGCTGGGGCTGCCTGGCAGGGAATTCGAAGTCAGCAGGTGGGGCGGCCACAAGGCCTGTGTCACAGCACGCAGGGATGCGGGTCCCCCCGTGCCACCTGCCTGGCTGTGGCCGGACCGGGTGGGGCAGGGCCCGGCGGTGACGGCAGCTCGGGCAGGTTGTGACTGGCGGGAGGGAGGGCAGCCAGGGGGAGAGGGGTGAGCCCCTTGGCAGACCTGCCCGGCTGCCCGCCCTCCCGGGTGCAAAGCCACCTCCCTGCCCTCCGGGCCACCCCTGTGTCCCCAGAGCCGATCTTCTTCAGTCGCTGAAGCTGAACCCGCAATCAGCCCAGGTCCTCGTTAGTTCACACCAACCTGCCACCAGACATCCCGCCCCACTACGCGCACACAGACCCGAGTGTGACCACCTGGCTCCGCCCCCCGCCCCGAGGTGGCGCTACAGTGTCCCACGCCGGGCAGCCAGGTGGCCACCCCGAAACAGAACCTGATGGCGTCCCTCACCCTCCAGTGACGCCCCTCTCACCCGGGGTATGAGCACGTCCCCGCTGGCCCAGTGTCACTTGGCCGACCCCTCTCCCCGCCTCCACCACCCTGGGCTCCTCGCGGCCCCAACACGCTCCTGCCCCAGGGCCTTTGCACCTGCTGCTCCCTGGGCCTCAGACGTCCACACGGCTGGCTCCCTCCCGCGCAGCCCTCGCCACCACTTCACGTTCTACGCGCTTACTTGTTCGTTTATCTGTCTGGATGCCCCACGCTGGGACGCAAGTTCGCAGAGGGAGGGGGTTTCTGTATCTCAAATGCCTGGCTTAGGCCCCAGCACGCGGTCAGTGCTCCCTGAACGCTGAGCTGGGCCTGCAAGCGTTCCTTACACGAGAGACGACTGTGGCCGCCGCTGGGGCGTCTCCGGGACTCACCTCTCTGTGCCTGCAGACTCGGCCTCTGAGGGCAGCAGACGGGAGGTGACACACAAACCCTGACGCACACTGCCGGGCGGGCAGAGGGGAGGCTGGGAGACCCTGCAGGAGTGGGGCCAAAGACGGGAAGAGCGAGGCAGGGAGGCTGGCGAGGGGATGTGCCCCAGCGAGCAGCGGGGCAGCAGGGCTGAGCATGGCAGAGTTCGGGGTACGGAAGGGGGCACCACTGTCCCACAGGGCGGGGGCTGGGGAGGGCAGGAGCGGGGGGGGGGCCCCTCCATGGGGACCGTGGGGAGGCCACCCACTGGCTGCACGGGGAGGGCTGGGCGGAGGCGGGAGAGCAGAGCCATGCCGGGTGGTGACGTGGGCGTGGGAAGTCGCACGGGTCCGAGACAGCTTGGTTCAGAAGCCACGACCCGGCTCGAGGTTTCAGGTCCACAGATGAGGGGGCGGAGCGTGGTTCCCTCCAAGGGACTTTACACTTGGAGTGTTCTAGAAACCCTTCCTCCCCCGCGTCAATAGGCAGTGGCATGGGGAGTGTGCCGCGCCCACTGTCGGGACCAGTAAACTCGTCCCAGTGAGCAGTCTTGGCGGGACCCTGAGCGGTCCCCAGGCAGGCTGCAGACAGCGCCATCTCTGGAGAGCGGGGAGACGGGGTTCTTGCTCAGCGGCGGCCCCCAAAGACACGCCCCAGTCCCAAGCCCGGTCACCTGTGCATGCATGGGACTGTATTTAGGAAAAGGTCTGTGCAGGTGTGAGTAGGTGCAGGACCCAGGTGCCAGGCCATCCTGGATTCAGGGTGGCCGTGCCCGAGTCTCCCCATAAGAAAGGGGGAGGGTCGCCGGCCCCAGGGAGGGGTTGTGTGCTCGCAGGCGGGGGCTGGCACCAAGCCACGCCTGGCGACACCGGGAGCTGGAGGAGTCACTGAGGAGGGAGGGGGCCCTGCCGATACGCTGACGGTGACCTCTGGCCTCCGGACCCGTGGGAGAGCGCCTTTCTGTTGTTTCAAGCCTCCCGGTTCAGGTTCGTGTTTTGCGTCAGCTACAGGAGAGTCATTCGGGAGGGACAGCCGGGGATTAGTGGCGGGCGGGACGAGGATTGTGTCTAGGATTAGATGTTCTCGCCGGGTGTCAGGCGCGGG